AAGATAAGAAAAGACACAGGGATTTTTTTAAATGTTTTATCCCTTTTAAATTTCCCAAAATAAACTCATTCCTTTGTATAAACGTATAATTGAGGATTATACCAAATTTTGTCGATGCTGATTGAACCTTGGTTCTCACGATGTTCTCTGAACATTACAGGATATCCCTTTTCGTGGGAACCAGAAAATAAAAAAAATGTCATGTCTATAAGCTTGTAGAATGGGCAATGAGAGTAAAACCCATATAGTTACATTTACAGTTCGATCGATTCAAGAATTGAGAAATATCTACTTGATATTTCCTCAAAATAAAACAGCTGACAACACAATAAAAGGAATTATGACGTCACTACTGGATAGATGAGTTTACCGGCGAACGCTATATATGTTTGAACGTCCCATAGAGTTGTAGTGAAATTATCAATATTTTTCGAATACATGCACATTTCAACGTTAAGAATTAATGGAGTATTAGTCTACTCAACTTTCTGAATTTTTCCATTGAATTGGCTGATGATGGGCTAATATGAGCTCGAAACATTTCCCCTTCTTGCTAATCTTCGATCAGACAATGGCTAATGGGGAAGACCACTGAGGGAAGAAATCCGTGCAAACCTCTTTCAATTGACGAATCATGATTTACATTTTATGTACAATCAATATTATGAGTTGAAGTTGAAGGGAATCGAATCTATATCGTTTTGAAATCAGCATATTTCATTCGATATTTCAAACAGCCAAATATGATGGTGGAGTCGTGACGTATTAGTCCCGAACTGTAGCTATCCCTCTCTGACCTCGTCATTCTGCAGTGTTGCAGTGTAATAATTGGTCAGTTCAAGGACAATAGGCGTGTTGGGACTAAGACGTCGCACCAGTCACACCAATGAATTGATGAAATTTCAAATGGCACAGGAATTGTGTGTTTTGAAATGGACATATACTAATTTATTTGTTTCATCGTCTTAGCATGAATGAAAAAATTCAAAATCAATTCACTGGTAGTTTTTCAGTACAGAGTTCACGATGATGTCGTTTTAAAAAATCAGTGGTCTTCCCCATTCTTGAGGATAGCATAAAACATTTTCATCATTTCAAATCACAGAAATCATGTTTTGAAGAAAAGTGGTAAACTCAGTACAATTTCTGAAGTTATTTCATGAAGATATTACTTCGACATGTTCAATAAAGTCAGAAATTATACAAGGTGTTTTTGAATTCGGTGCACATATTCAGCACACTAATATGTCACAGTCTAAGGAATATTCCCATGATATCAGATTTTTTCTAATTCTTCTAATTAACAAGAAATTTCATCCCAAAAATTGAACAAAATACGGGAAAAAAATCAAGTGCGTCACTTTAAAACAATTTAAATGATTGAACTCATCGTGATTGTGCCTACCGCATGGAAATTTGAACAGATGTGACGTCAGATTTGCTACAGTGTAGAACTTTAGGTGGAAAAAGGGGTCTAACCTCAAATTTTATTTTGACCCCAAATTTTTTTTAGTAGTGCCATTCGATAGTACACGTCGAGCTTTCTCTGTGTTTGAAATATTTGCACTTATTTCAATGCCACCTTGTATAGCTCATGATGTCATGGACGTCAAACTCTCAAGATTCGCTCACGTGACATCTGGTCCCGAAGTTTACTACGTAAAACCAAACTCACCCAGTACACAGCTTTCTGCAGTGAAAAAATAAAACGCTTCTCGATCGATACCCGAGCGAAACGAAGTCTAGACTTCGAAAACACGGGAATAAGCCCCGAATACTCGATGACACTGCCGCGTGACTTCGCTGTGACTTCACACCGAGACTTTCTTCCGAGATTTACGCGTATGAACTTATAATAAACGAAGAGAAGAGAGACACGGACAGGCGTAGGAACTATTCATATCTACATAAATACCTCGGGGCTACCCTCATATAACCGAACCGTTGATGCGAGTTCAACGTCCAAAATATCTTAACGAGATAGAAGGAACAGGCAGCAGACATACTCCTCATACATAATTCCGACATTTATTGCACCTGGTGTTATCAGTGATACGTAAGTAGGCATTATCACAAGGACGAGTTTTCGGGTGATATGCAATTCAAATTAGCAAACGATAATAATTGTTATCTGTGTGTATAACAGGTGACCACTGTAAGTTTGGAGTGGTTTCCAAGATTTTTTTCATATTTTATCTATAACAGGATTACTGGTAATTCGATCCATTCCATTGGTGGTAAGGGGTGGATTTAACACTAATATGCATTATGCAAAACTTGACAGTTTTTGAGATATTTAAATGTTTCTGTTTTTTCTCCAAAAGGTAAACTTTAAGGGTCTGAACAGTGGCGTAATTAAGATTCATTCCTAGGGAGGGGTCTAGGTCCCTTACGTAGGTTTCAATAAATGTGTGCATCATTTGGAACCAATACTAAAATAAAGGAAAAATATCGAAAAATAATCAAATATTATCACATATCAATTAACAGGTACAAACATTGAAATAGGAACAAAAAAAAAATAGAAGAATTTAGATACTGAAGAATAGGAAAATTTGAACTGTATCATTTTTTTTTGTTGGAATGAAGAGACTACTTTTGGCTAGATGGTGACAAGAGGTGATTCAAAATTCGATGTAAATATCTTGAGTACCTATTGTTGTTCATACAATGCCTACAATGGTGTGATTGGTGTGGCCTGAAATGCTCCTCCTTCGAGCTGAAGTCTTTGTAAGTTCAAGTTCAAGTGCAAGTATTGTAGTACCGCAGGCTCTGAAATAGCAGTCTCAAATGCGTTCCGACATACGATCACCTTCGTATGCAAGCGTTCGGAAGCAATGCAAATTGCAAGATACCTACTGGATTCTTGAATTTTTTTATGCCCCACAAGATCATGCAATTCAAAGTCAGATAGTTTCCTTTTTGTAACATAAAATTTGGGCCATCAAAAGGGTGGACCCTCTCCATACCTTCCTCAAAACTCGGTTTACATCATTTTTAGAGCGAAAGAAAATAGATGAGTGTCCAAAAATACAAAGGCATGCCAATTTTCAGAAGATGTAATCCGTTATTTTAGATAATCTTTTTTTTTTTCATCTTACAGTGGCTGAAGCTAGGAGGAGGTGCAACAATATGTCCTTAAAATATTTACATCGAATTTTGAATTGTCCTGTGTATGGATGTTTCAATAAAAAACTTGTACACCTGTTGCAGTTGTGAGGAATGGCCACAAAAAATTTATGGTTTTTTCTCATTTTCTTCATCTCTCCACAACTACAATCGTACGTTTCCAATGATAATAGGTACCTAACAAACCTACGATTTTCGTTCGGAAGGTTCTAATAAATTCCAAATGAAATTCTCGTGATATTTCCTATACTCATGTCTATTTTTCCATTGTTTACCGGATTTTTTCGGTTTTTCAGACAGCTCTGGGGGGGGGGTCCAGACCCCATGGACCCCCCCTTAATTACACCACTGGGTTTGAAAGCTAGTTTCCCAAAAATCTGCTGTACATATTTTCAACCATTCAGCTGGAATACATGATAAACAGTATGGTCTTTTTAGAATGACAAAATTACAGAAATAATTTTGATCATAGGTAAAAAGAAAATACAAAGTCGTATTTTTGTTTGTGAATTGTGGATTTTAACACATTCTATCGCTTATTTTTAGAAAAATCTGTAAGCCACATTTGTCAAAATTTTTTTATCTTCTGGGTACAAATGAAACTAGAAGTGCTTGATACAGATTTGTTATTTCGAAGGAATAGTAAAAAACATACTTGAAAAATTCCTATCAGTATTTATTTTTGGCGATACAGCAGTTTTAATTTTCATTTATTCGCTCGAGGCATCCAAATAGCATAACAGATTTTCATAACCTCCATTATTGGGCCAAAGAAAACCCCCGTTTAAAAGGAAACTAGTTTTGAACGGAAGTTTTCTGTTAATGTGTGTATGGGACTCATTGACAGTTATTTAATAGGACCACATTTTTTCCTAGACCATTTAAACAGGGAAATGTATTAACATTATCTACTGCATAATCTACAGGGGCTTCCTGATGATGTTTCTCTCGACATCAGAGGACGAATGGTATTCCAACAAGACGGTTGTCCAGCGCATTATCGGCTGATCGTTCGACAGTTCCTGGATGAACGTTTTTTGAACCGTTGGATTGGAACGTCAGGTCCAATAGGTTGGCCAACGCGAATCCCTGACCTAACCCCCCTTTATTATCAGGTGTGGGATCATATGAAAGCACTAGTTCATGAAACCCCAGTAAATACCCAGGAAGAGCTCATACAAAGGATAATCAACGCTGCCCTGCACATACAAAATAATTTGACAACTAGAATAACAAAGACGCTGCCGAACATGTATTCGTAATTCGTAATTCGAGGTCTCACTTTGAACAGGATTTGGAAAAGTAAAAACTATTAGAAGTTTTTCAAGTACGTTTTTAATATTCATTTGAAATAACAAACCTGTATCAAGCACCTTCATCATCATTTGTACCTAGTTGGATAGCTATTGCCTTAAGGCAGTATTAACATATTTTTGAAAAATGTGTCTTGGAAATGTTTATGAAAATACCCGCTAGAAAGTGTTAAAATCCACAATTCACAAACAAAAATACGACTGTATTTACAATTTATCTATAATCCAAATTATTACTGGAATATTTTAATTCCAAAAATCATGTATTCTAGTTGGAAGGTTGAAAAAATGTACAGCAGATTTTCGGGAAACTAACTTTTAAACCCTTGAAGTCTACCTTTTGGAGAAAAACGCGATTACGCGACCATGACTGGTGGAATAAACGAAAACTGTGCGATGTGCTTACTGTTCGTAAAGAGCTACTTGCTGAGGCTGTATCTCGTGTATTCTTGCCTACTCTCTATAGTGGCCGTAGGTAAACAGGATTTACGTGATATATAAAATTCAAATAATATGAAATGTTTGCAAAAACATTATCATACTCCTATCTAAAGTAGGTACACATTCATTGTTTCTTTATAACTAATATCATTGAGCATTGTCTGCGAAGGTGGTATACAGTATACAGTTGAACATCAAGCCGAAAATCATAGCTCTATCATAGTGGTAAGTGCTTATAGACGAATTCTAGGTAGATTGTATTGAAAGGATACAATGTAATTAGGTATAGCATGGAGATTATTTTCATTAAATGAATGTCTTGCAAAAAGCAAACCTGTTTGTATTTGGGAATGAAAAATCATTATACTTTACAATGAACACTTTTCCGTATCACGAATACCTTCAAAATTATAAATGAGAATTGAACTTTTGTTACTTCTCACATTTTTTTAAATATTTCAGAAACAACCCAGAACGTGGCAACGCTGTTAAAGAATCTTGATGAGCTTCAAAACGGCAATTTTTATTAATTTGACCTAACCCTCTAACTATATCTCAAGAAAAATTCAATATAATGAATTCAAATTCGGTATGGAAAAACATTCCGAGAATTTTATCCAGAGGTGCGCTACAGAGTGTTGTGATAACTTTTCCTCCCATATTTTCTACGTCACTGATGAAATTTCGATTATTTCCAATTCGTGTTCAATTATGTTGAAAAAATTCATTACCTTCAACTGAGCTAAAATCCTAAAATGAACAGTTATCGAGATATTTGACCCTAAACAGAAGTTTGCATAGTAATTTTTCATCTTCCTCAGTAGTAGAATATACCGAAGTTGAATGCATTATATTCAATTTTTCTTGAGATATTGCGAAACAACTATTTTTATTTCTCAACTTTAACACCCTGTATCTCGAGAACTGAACATTTGAAGACCGTATGTCCCTATCTCAGTGATTATGAAATCACGAGGGCTATCACCTGTCGGTCGAATTTCGCAACACCCTGTGTATAGGTGTCAAGCCCTCTACGATAGTTTGTACGCATAGAACATTTGGGAACGGTCTAAAGATGCTAAAAAACGGTTTTTCTGATTTTTCTTGGTAAATAGAATTGATTTCAGGGCAAATGTACCTATCAGGGGATAGCTCTGTCGGACAAGATATAAGTTATCTTAGGTTAGGGTAGTTAGATTATATTAAGTTAATTTTAAAAATGGGTAAAATATACGAATAGCCTTGGCTAAATTTCGCCTAAATAAAGACGATTTATTATTATTATTATTATCATTATATGGCAATAGTGAACAGGTTGCCCAAATTGGACATTTTTTAAGGAAAGTATTATTTTCAAACTAGATAGACGAAAACTGGAAGCGGTGTCTGGGCGAAAATTTTTATGAAAAAACTTATTTTTTCTGTGACGGGAAAAAAGTTTGGCATTTTATCTCTGTTGGCAGGTTATAAAATGTCACTTTTCATAAATTACTTTTTTCCCGTGGGAAAAAAGTGAGTACTTTTTTCCCGGATATACAGTGAGGACGTAAAAAGTCCTCCCCCCCCTTTATCTTTTGAACGGAAGAAGCTATCGAGGTCGGGTAAAATTCAGGTAAAAAGGTACTACTTTTACTACTTTTTGGCATAAAAATGATTGTGGTCACGTGGCCTAGTGTCAAGAGGGTACCATCAACTTTTTTTTTTCAAATGTAAAAGGGGGTCACGTGGCACCTGGTTTTGAAGGCCTTCCGATTCTCTATCCAACACCGCTGTGTTTGTGAAAATCGACCAAGCCGTTTCAAACTGACAAGTGTTTGAAATTTGCTCCAAAAATAAATAAGGTAAAAAAAACTGGAACAAAAACCACATTTTAAAATACCAATAATATGCGCACCTGTCTTACCACAAAAAATTGACTCTTCGACCATAATCAGTGACGGAGTTGAAATTCTGCTGCAATTAATAGTTGAAATAATTTCATTGTGAAATTTTTGAAGCAAATTTCAATAGCTTGTCAGTTTGAAACGGCTTGGTCGATTTTCACAAACACAGCGGTGTTGGATAGAGAATCGGAAGGCCTTCAAAACCAGGTGCCACGTGACCCCCTTTCACATTTGAAAAAAAAAAGTTGATGGTACCCTCTTGACACTAGGCCACGTGACCACAATCATTTTTATGCCAAAAAGTAGTAAAAGTAGTACCTTTTTACCTGAATTTTACCCGACCTCGATAGCTTCTTCCGTTCAAAAGATAAAGGGGGGGGAGGACTTTTTACGTCCTCACTGTATATCACATATATATACTCTGTTAATGGCTTTTGTTGTGCTATAGTTCCGAAAAATGAGTCAATAATACCGTCTCCGAGAAAGAACTGCAAGTCCTTTTATCTTCCATTCGACTTCGCGGTTTCGTATATTACTAAACAACTACTGAATTCGCAATTTTTTAAAATCAAATCACAGAATTGAACTGACAGAAGTGACATCAGATATTTGATTACTTCAAAAGAATGATAAAGATGCCTATAAAACGCAGGTGTCCCTACTGTTAAAAACTTGAAATTTCACGTCGATAATTTTCAGATTTCGAAATAATGTACTATCTTCTCAATATTGATCCGTCCTTCCTTCTGTCACAGAAAAAAATAGTGTATTATACACGGGAAAAATATTAGATTTTAGCTCACGGTTTTTTGTCTCCCTCCGCTACGCGTCGGGAGACAACACAACCTGGAGCTAAAATCTACTACTTTTTTCCCTTGTATAATAAATAACTATTGTGATACCTGCATATCGTTATCTATCATCGTTTCTGAGTTCATATAAGGTGTTTACGAGAAGTTGCTTTCCTGTCAAAAATTCTTTGTTCCTCTGAAAACATTCCCGACGCAATTTTCACTCGTCATTTTACGACATTACTAAGCACTAACATTCCAATAGTTTTTTTTTCAAATTGACCCTCCAGCACCGACATCGGTTTCCGTCTTATCTAGTTTAAAAATAGGACTTTCCCTTCAATATCTAAAATATGTCTAGAAAGACAATAATTTTCCGAAGACGCGCGGTACTTCCGTTCGGCCGATCTATTTCCGGCGGCGACAGACTCTCGACGGTCCGTTTCCGCGTGGGGAGCCCTTCTGGGGCCAAGGGCGGTCCTACAGGGGGGGGGGGGTGGAAAATTTAGAAGAAATTCTCGAATTCACTGTTGCAGGAATGGCACTCGACTCTAGTAGGTATTTATCAATAACAACTTGTCATATGCTGTCATGGTGAATACAAAATAAACAATAAAATAATCAAAATAAATTATAATAAGAAATAATAAGAGCCGTTTTGGAATTAGCAATTTTCATTGCGTACCTACGCAATTTTCTGTTGCGTTGCAGGAAATCTTAGCAGAAGAGCCGGCTGCAGATTTATACCGTCATCTGATAACGAATGATATATGTCCCGAAGGAAAGTAAAAACATTGTAGTTCATCGAACGGCACCTGTGCCAATAACTATCCTGAGCATAATGATAAAAAAATTGCACCTTCCTGTGCGGAAATTTGCACTCGATTTCGCGATTTGATAACAAGATAAGAATTATGCCATTCGATACCAATTGAATTATGCCATTCGATACCAATAGAGCACTGTCAGTGACGTCATATGAGTCTCATTTATATTCGGAAAAACTTACAAAAATTCAGTTACCCTAGCAATGCTCATTCATATCACACCAGAAATTTTAACAAGATGCAAAATCCGAGACTCAGACTAACAATATCTTCCAAAAACACTATAAACGTTGAATTATTCAATAAACTAGCAGAGCACCACAGACAACTACTACCCATACAATTTGAGAAAGTAATCAAAAAATTGTTGAATGATGGGTGCTTCTCGAGGTGCTTCTACTCAATCGAGGAATACATATCAACCACATCTTTAGACTTACTGCAACGGTGACACCATATGCCTTCAATTTCATTGCATTTATTTATTTTTATCAAATTTTATAAGTATATATTTTAGACTTTTTTATATTGTGCTCAAGTATCACTTTGATTCTATTTAATTTTTTTCACCTTTTATATTGTGTAGCTTAACTGTACTATATGTATGTAACGTGATCAATAAAGATCTATCTATCTATCTATCTATCGAATCGATGTGCTAAATTTGAAACATACATTCAAAATAGCAACGAAGATACAGGTAAAATGGTTCCGGATCCCCAGGAATACTGCAATTCAAGTAATAAATAAAATGGTGGATTTTCGGTATTTCATGCATGCACTCTATGCATGCACTCATAACTCGATTAGAAGTAAAACACAGATTTTTTGACGAAAAGTCATTGCAAGCCGGTCATTCCGATTCATATCGCCGAGAATATGAAACGCAGCAATCCATTGCAAGCAGTCAAATATTGAAAACTTTGAAGCGGCTCTAAAGTCAATGAGAATAAAATAAAGAGTAATAAATATAACATTATTCAAGGTTCCAGTTTGAAAAACATCACAAAAATTACTATTACCCCCCTAGAGATTCACCTTAGGACCGCTTTTGTCTGGGGGAGAGGGGGGTGCCCTTGGAGAGTATCCGCAGGAAAACATGATACACGAAAGTTCAAAATAGAATGGTAATGCAAGCAGGATCCAGAGTGATATCGGAAACGACAGTAAAAGTAAAAAATAGTTGCGACCAGGTATTAATGGTTATCAATCTGCATTGAACACACATGGGAGAAAATGATCCTTTGCTCCCTTGATTTATTTACAGTGTGTCCCGCTTTTCATCAATACACCCTCAGTTATTAATGGTGCGATTCTCTTGAAATTTTTGTAGTGAATGTATGTTAGAATAAGGAAGTATTTAGCAGAATGAACAGTTTCATTCAGCATTGGCGTGCGATGTTGAGGGGTACAAAAAATGCCTTTATTTGGGAAAAGGATATTAGGACTCATTTTGAATAACTTTTTCATCAGATTCATAATCAGCATCCCCAAAAACCCCCCAATTCATATTTTCAAGATCCCAAAAGCTAAAATAAAATATCTCAAAATCCCGCTTCTCATGACAACACCCTTAAATCTCAGTTATCAATGATGCGATTTTCTTGAAATTTTGATGGTGATTATGTGTTGAAAAAATAACATCGTCACCATCACAGTTTCGAGAAAATCGCATCATTAATTACTGAGATTTTGGGGCGTAGTCATGAAAAGCGGGATTTTGA